ATTAGTTCATTTAATATAACGAAGTACAGAGCAAAGCTACACAAGTAATACAAGCACATGAGATGTCTCAGAACTTTCTAAAATAATGTATTAATAATCATTTAATTGTATTACTAATTTTAGAAATTATAGTATTATTATTTAGTTTATTAATATTATCTTATATTGTTATTATATAATATTATTACTGTAAATAGCATTATTAGATAGCATTATTTTATGTTGTTATCATTATTATAACTATTTTTAGTATTAGTATAGTATTATAACAACTTAAATAATAGTATATAGCATTATTATAAATGATTTATATCATTATACAATGATTTATAGCATTATTTTTTAGCATTATTTTATGTTATTATTACTTAGTGTTATTACATTGCATTATTTTATAGTGTTGTAAAAAATATACAAACCCTGCCTTTTTCCCAAGACAGAAAAATATCAATGTATGCTTTACAATTAATTCCTTGAATATTTACATTATTTTTGAATATATTTAACTCTTTTCTTTAATTATTTTCTTATTAAAAACCTTTTTATTATGTATTTTTTTAGTAATAAACTGTTATTATTTTGTATTTTTATAGTATTTTTATAGTGTTTTTATTGCATTTTCTTGTGAATTTATTGATATTTTTGATTTAAACTTAAGTAAACCTTATTATTTTTGACTTCTTGTTTAATTATTTTATAGTATTTTTAGCTTAGTTTAGGCTTTTCTTTAATTTTTCTTATTTAAAACATTTTTTAACCACTCTTATACATTAAGTTAAGTAATATATTTGTTTGATTTAACTTGTAATAACACATTTTATTATTAAAATATTTATTATTTAGTTAAACCAAGCAAGCATATTACAATATATATCTTTGTATTAAATAAAAAAACAAATATATTTTTGCAAAAAATAATTTAAAAAATTAAAATTAAACTATTTATATATATAATTTTAAAAACCAAAATTTTTAATTATATAAAAAAATTTGGGTAATATATTTTTTTAAAAAATATTTATTTTGTTAAAAAATTTTCAGTATAAGTAATTATTAAAAAATATTTTTGTTAACAAAATTTTAATATTATATATAAATTTTTATTTTTGAATATAAGCTTATATTGTATTATTAAAAAAAAACATTTTAAAAATTTTTTAAATAAAAAATAATTTATAATCAACAATTTATTTATTTATATAGTTAGATCAAAAAACAATTTTGATAATTATAAAAACAATTATAATTATATAAAATAATATCTAGAACTAAAAAAATAGTATAATTATAACAAGATTGCAACTATATCAAAAGTGACTATAATTAAGATCTAGCTAAAATTTAAAGAATTATAGCATCTATCGTTTCTATATCGTTTATATAGCAAATATAATATACAGTACGTAGTAGTCTTTTAAAATAGTTTTTTTTATAAACTGTATAATTTTGTAATTTTTTAAAATTTTTAAAAAAACAATTATTCAAATAAACTTTGATACTAATTTTGAATGCAAAAATTATGCTTCTACAAAAAAATGAAACATCGAACTTCTTTCAAATATATTATTTACCAGATTCAGCATGATTGACGACATGTATGTATTATCATTGTACGTACGTACGTAATCAAATTTTGATTACTATCTCATGTTATCAAAGAAACATTGACCCTTCGGACTTTAAATTTACCATTTATTATTTACCAGATTTAGCATAACGGCGAACTGTGTTATATCATTGTCGTATTCGGTATCAGCATGTGACGAATTTTCAGGGGCCGAATCTGATGAATACTTAGAATACCTAGAGCTAGAGGTAGAGGGACATTTTTTCTTGGTAGCGTCCCAATAAAAGGTCTACGTAATATACGTAATATATGTAATACGTACGTATGTATCTTATCCTGAAAGGAAGTAATACATATTTAAAAAGAAGGATATGAATAAATAAAAAGGAAGAAAATAATGAGTGGAATAATGAAGTTAAATTAATATAAATTAAAATACATTATTGATAACGATAGTGATCAACTTTAAATTTTTCCTAACAATTAAAGTTGACAATCCTGATGCAGTTTTTGTATAGTTATTATGTAATAACGATAATTCAGGAGGAAAATTCTTACGTTATATTATTTATTTATTAAAAATGCAGCATTTAACAATATTACTAATGGTCAGTTGATTTTTTGACGTTAACAATTTAACATGTTTACTATTTAAAGAAATATTAAAAATATTAGTAAACCGGAAAATTGGCGATTATTAATTATGAATGAAAATACGAGATGTCTAAAGAAATGTCACAAGAAAAGTAATTTACTAAAAACTAAAGAAATACATCTAAAGAAGATGTCTCAAGTTTTAGTTTTAAAAAAATATACACACATACTATATGTATACTATAGCGATAGTAAATAAAATACAATTTTTTATTTTTCTTAATCTTTTTGTTTATTTGAAAACCTGTCAAGAGTAAAGTAGTTCGACATAACTGAACCTAAATTTTCATCCGACCATTAGTATAGTTATTATTTTGGTACAGTATTGGGTGACTATTAGACGTAGTTATTATGTTTTTATGACCAGGACCATTAGACGCAATTACGCAATTATTATTTTTTTACAGTATTGGGTAACAATGTTTTTTTGTCAATTTTACTCAGCGATACTTGACTCATATTGTGTCAAAAAGTTTTAAAAGGGAACTATGTACATACGTAACATATACCCATGTATAGTGCGTAGATCCGTATGGATATCATATATCAGATATCAGATATCAGATATCGGGTATTGTAACGGTAATTTCATCGACAAGTTTGGATTAATATCAGTTATATGCCTATATACAAAATAATAGGAGATATACAAGGCGATTATAGGACGATAATAGGAGATAATAGGAGGCATTAATGCGAAGGGAGAAATTTGACTCTATGTTACGTAGCCTTTTTGTTCTTATGATAGGCTTTGCAAATAAAAAATTCTAATTGTGTAAGTATTACGTATGGGGTACCTTCTTTAGAAATATGTATTAAACCAATTTTGATGATGAAAAATTTTGCGCCCCAAATTTGTGGGATTACTAAATTGAAGTTACATGAACTTTTTTTTTTATGTTAATTCATATTAAATTCGATTATATCACAATATAAATATGGCGTATATTTAAAGCATGCATGTGATCACTAAGGCGCATCTTTATTACGCACTTAAATCCAATAAAGAAAACAAGGTGAATAATGGAAAGTCACATGAATTGTAATCATCTTTTGTGTGATTATTTGATTATGTCATCTCGGATATATTGAATATATTTGGATATATGTGTTATGTGAGTTATGTGAGTTATGTGAGTTATGTGAGTTATATGAGTTATATAAGTTATATGAGGAGTTATATGAGGAGTTATATGAGCTATATGAGCGATGAGAGAAATATCAGAAATATCAATAATGTAGTGACTTAAAAAGTGATCAGGAGATAAAGCATACACTATGGGATACTATAGGATATAGGAGTGTTAAAACCGAGACAATTAGTTATTTTGCCTTTGTTTCTTTAAAAGGATTTTTTATTTAACGCAAAAAGGATAGACAGTTATTGTTTCCTGATTTCTTGAATGAATGATGAGTTCCTGAATTCTAATAATTGTAATGGAGAATTTTTTAATGGTAGAACTAAAGAGATCATGTGATATTATTTACAATAAAGTTTTAGACTAATACTTATTAGTAATCGAATAATAGAAGTTTAATAATAGACAAATAATAGATGAATAATATATAGATGAATAATAGATGAATAATAGATGAAAGATACGTGGATATATTTAACTTGATAACCTTTGCAATACTCATTTGCGAAACCCTTTGCGAAACCTTCCGAGTACTTTTTGAGTACCTTTTGAGATACGATACATACGAGTACCTTTTGAGATACGATACATACGAGTACCTTTTGAGATACGATACATGCGCATATCAATGTGCATGCTAGCCAAAAGACATTGGTTATTATTTCTGATAAAAACGAATTATATTTACAGTAATATTTTGAAATTAAAACACATGTGATATGTTCATTTACATGAACACATTATAGTTATCAGATGCACATGATTAAACATGGCCCTATGACTAGTCAAAAAATAAATATTTCCAAATAAATTTAATGCATCAAGATTTTTTGTCTTTTTTTTAATGATAATCTTTTAAAAAAAAGTAACAATGCAAAACAAACCAGCATGTTGAACATGTTGAACATGTTGAACATGTTGAACATGTTGAACATGTTGAACATGTTGAACATGTTGAATTTGTTGAAGCAGACAGTAACGCATTAAATCCTGACATTACCACACGTTTTTTCAGGAATAATTATTTCATCAAAAGTTTAATACGTATAAATGTTTTTAATTTGTAAAAAAGAACAAGTCTTTGTTAATTTCACTCAGTTTATTTATTTACACATCTGTTATAAGCAAAGTTATAAGCAAAACACATTATAACACATCACAAAACACATTATAACACATTATAACACATTATAACACATTATAACACATCATAACACATTATGATCATGAGTTTATATTTCTTTGTGTTTTAATGACAAAATGTTTATATTCACGGAGAATACGAAGAATACGAAGAATACGAATATGATAAACCTGATAGATATTGGATATTGGATATTATGCAATTATGAATGATATATTAATTTGCGTGACCAACATTGTAATGTCACTGGAGTCACTGAACGTATAGTGTAACATAACGTGTATATTAATATTAATCTATACATACAGTATCAAACCATCTTATCTATTTATTACTGATGCGATTGCATAATGATAACGGTGTTCATTCAGCGAATAAGAGTACAATCGAAAAATAGGTATATCAAAATAGGGATAATGGTATCACAAAAAAGCATGAATTAATATCGTTATATGTTTATTGTATATATATAATAATAAATTTATATAAATAGTCACTAATTACCATTAATTGCTTTAATTGCTTTAATTACTTTTTGATTTGTAACGGTTTTTGTAAACTCTTGTGGAAAATTAGTCAGCTATAATAAATGATCTACGATTAGTCTACTATTATTCTATCTATTATTCTATTATTTGTCTTCATCATCATCAACGTCATCACAACCGTCAACGTGATCACAACCGTCAACGTCATCACAACCGTCAACGTCATCACCATCGCAACGTCATCACCATCGCAACGTCATCACCATCGTCAACGTCGTCACGATCATCAACGTCATCACAACCACAACGTCATCACAACCATTATCGTTATCATTATATCTATATAATGCACCATACCATATATCGCATTACAATGAATTCATTCAATTTCCATTTTTTATATATTTTTTTTTCATTCTTTTGATTTTTATAACCTTAAGGTGGTAACGCAAATTCCAGGTTCCAGAATCATGTGTAAATTAGTTGTAACATTAAATTCAATGTCTCGTGCTAATTAATAATTATTCATCTGTATCGTTATATTATCGTTATATTAATAATCGTTATTAATTTGTTGTTTTCTAAAACTGTATTCAAACTGTATTCTACCTAACCTCGCAAATAGAGGATCCCGGTGCGTTTCTGTTTAAGAATTGAATTTATCCGTTCCGAATGTGTAAATTGTTATAATACCACATGTAGCCTGTGAAAAAAACATTGTTATTTTATTGTATTTTAATTGTTATTCTACGCTATTTGTGTATTTAATACCATTCCTAATGAATAGAATTAACAATTGTTTGTTTTGATATGCTGCCTCTTTTATTTATCATCCTTTACCTTTTAAGAGTTTTTATTTTTACCATTAATCATTTTTCATTTCTGATTAGTCGTGTTTCGTCGTGTGATCTCATGTGTGTAAACATTGAAACGCCATTTTCTTTGTTAATGTTGATCCGTATCCTTTCATTGGGCGAACTTAGCAAATTAAGCAAGTGATGGTTAACCGGAATTACGTTTTTATTCCAATCTTGCTGCTTTTGGTGGTGCTGGCGGTTATAATTTGAAATTCTTCATTGAACCACTTAAAGAAATCGCAAAGCCTTCCTCATAAAAGAAAATGTTTCCTAAAAATATGCTGCCCTGAACTCACGCATGTATCTTATGTATCTTTAAGGGATCGTCTGTATTACCGGTTATTTACATTTTTCTTTTTGTTTTTAGCTCGATTAAAAATTATATCATTCTTTTTACCCTTACGTAATTTTTTTTTATTCCTTAACCTTTCAGTTTTTGAGAATTTTTTCAAGAATTTTTGTATAACATTCTCAGGTACATCCGTTACACTATCTCCCATGTGGTATTATGCACTTGAATAATTTTGATTGGTCAAAAAAGGAACAAGGAAATATAGTTGTAAAATTATTCGGTAATACTATAAATGTATGCCCTTAAATGAAATATCTAATAAATAAACCAATCAAATGTTCTGTTGATCATCTAACGTCATTTCTTTGTTAGGGATTAAATAAAAGTGTATATGTCATGTATATTTGTTTGTTGAAATCATATACCGATACGATTTTAGATATATCGATAATGATAATCTGTTGTTACCAGGTTAAATTCCCTATATGTCTTCTTTTAGCATGTAATTGATTGAGATTTTTTTTTATTTATTTTATTATTGATTTGAAAAAAATAGATTAACTTATATATCGCTTATTATTATACATGATATAAAATCTATAAAATTTTATATAAAATCTTTATAAATCAAATTTATTTTTATAAATCAAATCAAATTTATTTTTATTATTTATTTGGTTTCCATATAAGTTCTTTATTCGTCATAAGTATTATCTTATCTACATACTACTTTCATGGGTTTTCTTTTTATTACTAGAACTGTAAAACATTTTCAATTCTATTCGGCATAATTGCTATATTCGAATATTCGAAAAGTACGTATGATTATCTATGCATATCCAATAAAAATCTGGCATACACATACATTATTATACGTGGTATACGTGTATACGTGGTATATATTTACTAAATTTATATTTTTTCGAAAATGAATTTAAAATTGATTGATGGTTTTTTTTTTTTCTTGTCTTCCTATTTACTATTTACCCTTTATTTTATTACGTCATTTAAGTGGAATTACCATATACCCTTTTCTTTATTACTTCAATGAAATAAGAATAAAATATAAATCAATAATTAGTAATAATTAGTGTTCATAATGCTATATCTTGCCATAACGATAATGACAAAGACATAGCATATAATATATGCTATGTATTGTGTGTCAATATATGCTATGCCTTTCCATATATGCTATAGCACCTGTACACGTTTATCAGCTGCAATGGGAAATTAAGACTCCGTCAGCAAGAGATAAGGAATCATGTGTCTTACGTCTTACTGTAAGAATAATCGGTATCAATCTAATAAAGTGAATTGACCAATGTAAAGACCCAAAATTAGACATTTTTCTTACCACACTACATCTACATAAAACCCATAAAACCCATAAAACCAAGTAGGAAAATTAAAAATTATGGTTGTCGGTTTGGCCCGAATCAATACATCAATACATATATACATATATACATTTACCAAATGTTTAAGGATATACGGTGGATTACGAAAATCTTGACGTGAAGATTCTACAGAAGCTCACGCCTTTGGATGTTGTGTAAATGTATACAAAAATAAAATCATCATTAGTTGAAATCATGATATCATAAGTATAATTAGTTTTCGTTTGCATACTATTAGATTGTTTCATGTAACGAATAACAAATATAAATTTAATTTTCATGAACAAAAAAAACACGAACAAAGAATCTTTCTAAAAACAAAAAAAATCAATAAAACGTGACGTTACGCATCGTAATATTTATTGACTATCATATGGCAACAATTTATGATTAGAATTATTAGAATTATTAGAATGTTTAAGAATTTGAATTGACACTTAGAATTTACTATTTAGAATTAGTGTTGTTTGAATGAATTAATTAATTAAATAGAAGTAATTTATGGAACTATTTAATAGAAATAATTAATAGAAATAATTAATAGAACTAATTAATATAGAATTATAAAATTGAGTTTATTTTTCTAACACACACGCACACAATATATAATTCGCAAAATGTATCTTAATTGGCTATTATTTTCCATGCGACACATATTCTCTCTTAAAGAGGCAATTTTGAATTAAAAATAAACTATCCATGTCGAACTATATAGTTATAAACTACATATGCAGTCAGTAGGGTTCATTATCACATATGTTGTCATTCTTTGAATATCGTATTTTATATCGTATTTAATATCGTATTTTGTGGCGCAGCCTATTACCCGTATCCTGTTTCCTAATAAATTAAACAAAAGGTTTTGTTTTTCGCACGAAGGTTTTTTTTTTTTTTTATAAACTTTGGATTAGGGTCTCTTATCTCTATTTAATATCAAATATATCAAATATATCAAATATATTTTATATTCCTACAATTACAATCGTACATCAAAAAAATTTAAATATGTACTGTATTTTAAAAAAAAATTTTTACATTAACACATATATTTACGTTAACACATAAATAATTGCAGATCATATTATGTTTTGATATGATATGTCGTATGATATGTCGTATGATATGTCACATTCCACATTCTTCAATTTTATCACATTTGTTGCAGATCGGTGAAATATGATTGCTATAAATTTAACTGAAAAACGCCCGCTTTTTTTTTCAGCAAGTTCAAACAAAAAAAAAAAAAAAATTTAGGAATTTGAAGAATTTAAAGAATCTGAAGAAAAATATGATTTTCTCTCAACAATTCCAAGATTCGCAATTCTCTGAACAGATATTAATGAACCATCATCCCAAACCAACTCTTCTCTATTGTACTCCTCCTCATTCTCCATTACCGATGTCCAGCAATTTAGGTCACCCAAACCGTTCGTGTGTCTCTTGTAAAAAACGAAAAGTTAAATGCGATAGAAAAACTCCATCATGCGCAGCGTGTGTCAAATCCAAACATAGATGTTACTACACATCTTATTCGCCTCCGGAAGATACGCTAGCAACAGTTCCTGAAGATGAAGCAATCAAAGCCATACGACAACAACACTGGATCCAAACTCAAAGAATGAATTCTCAACCTACTGTTGTAAAGGTAAAAATCAAATTTTATTTTTTAAATTCAAAATCACAACCCGGCAACCTATATACTTACCTTTTTTTTTTTTTTATAATAGAATGAATATGATTTGGGATCTACCAATGGATCGTTTCTTAACGATAGCTCCTTCCTTGGTTTAAATGTCGAAAATCCCACTGTGCCTATTGCTTTGGTCTCTAGCACTCAATATGTTCCTACACGATTCCCAACTCCACAACTAGCTCAAATCCCTACTTCGCCAAATTCGGTACAACAATCTTATATCTTACCGCAGCAACGTCAACAAATTTCTACTCAATCGTCTCCTCTTATCAATCAAAATACCCTTACTTCTTTCTTGCAACCAGCTTCTCCAGGTTTGTATTTTCTACACATTATCTACACATTAATCTTTAAACAATTATATTTACTTATTTATTATTTTTGTTTGTTATTTTTAGTTTCGATAAATAACTATGTTCCAAATATGCGCGGTACCATCACATTGAACTATAATGTGAATAGTTTAACACAAATCATGGATCCTCAACTTATTCCTATTCTCCAAAGCGTAACAAAAGGAACCGGCCCTATGATACCACCAAATGGTTTCGCAAACGTGTCTCAATTACAATTATGGATTCATGAAAAGATCATAGCTTTGAGTCAAGAATGGAGAGGAGAAGCTGATCAATCTTACGTTTTGGATCCAGATGAAAGATTAAAACTACGAATGGTTGATTATGAACAACAAGGACAATTTTATGTTGCACAACAACAATTCGATGTTGAAATTGAACGTTCAGAATATACTTCTGGTAATAATTTCGATCAACAAACTGGTGATTTTAAACCTTATAATGATTTAAATCAATATGACGATGACGATCGACATAGTGGCAATAGTAATCCAAGCAGTATCGATATAGATCCAATGGATACTTTCCTTCATAAAATTTATGCTTTCGTTCGTAAATTTATGAGAGATGTTCCTTGGTTACGTGATAATTTCATGTTGAATTTTAACATTACTTGCGATGGTGTATTATCTGATGTTGCAGTTGAAATTCGAAGAAATCAACCATCTTTATTCTATCCTCAACAAAATCGACAACAATTATTTTCGGTACAAAACGATATTTATGAATCACAGAACGATATAGTTAAAGGACGATTATTTTTATAAAATGGTTGAATTGAAAAATGATAAAACAAAAAAAATTTTTTTGGAATTAAATATGGGATAAAACGGGATAATGAATAGTATACTGAATATAGTAGGTTCTCTTTATTCTTTATATGAAACTATTTCATTAGTCGTGCATCTAAGTTAAGTAGGCGCAGATCATTCGAATTTTTGATCTTGCGTTAAAAATTCTTGTATAATAATAACTTTTATACTCGAATATGAACATTTAATTTTACAATAATAACATAAGACGATACACCCCTTCTGTCCCAAATTCCCTTTAAAAGACAATATAGAAAGAAAAAACATAGTATTATAATTATCGATACTCATCTCGACCTCGACGAGATATTAATTGAGAATATTTAGTAATATAATAAATTCATCACTGGACAATCAATATAGAAGGGGGAATAATTTCGGTTATGGACATTTTTTTTTAACGAACAAACGTATTATTTATTCAACATAAATTAGAATAACTATTATTATTATTATTATCATTTTTATACTTTTTTCTCTGAAAATATTTATATTTATTTTTTTTTTGCATTATTTTAGAATTATAATTTTTTTTCGTTTAAACGAAACAAAAATTAAACCCCCATAGATTTTTTTTTTTCGATTTCTTCGTCTCGAACAACATTTCAAAAAAATAGAAAAAATGGCATTAAATATTAGTGTAAATACAGGCAAAGATTATTTTGATCTTCACTCATTTTCTGGATTAAAATCATGTATATAATTCAATTTTTAAACAATAACAAAATCAAAATTTTAAACTGGCATAACGGAATTTTTAAGAATTATAATAGAAAATATACATGCGTATGGAATCATTATTCTTCGTAATTTTTTTTTTTTTCTCTCGATTTCATAGTGGTGGAAAAAGAAAATTTATTCGTTTTTTTATTACTATCTTCATTTAACTATTATTTACTATTATTATTATTTAAAAAAAATAGAGCTTTTATATATCATTTCATTTA